TTTTTTTTTTTACCGGCTCATGAAGTGGAAGAGCGTTTCTTTCAATTAGTAAAAGTACTCTTTTCCTGCATTATCTCTTTATTTTTTCTCTTTTTCCCTCTGTTCTTGCCGCTCTGGTAAATGACGGGAATGCTCATTTGCGGAAAAGTGGTTGCTGGGCTCTTGAGCATCAGTTTGTTTCTCTGACACTGAACGATGGTAACTTGTCTTCATCATCTGCGAAGAGAAACAGAACACGGACCCGTTGCCTCATGGGGAACAGTGTGGAGTCCGAAGTTCCAGAAATAATGAACACACGAAGAATTCGTTCCATGCTTAGCATGCGCATACTCTAAAAATTAAATAAATGAAAAATCCAATGCAGGGTACTTCAAATACAGTAATGACCTTTTCCAGACCGTCGACTGAAATCTGAGAATCCAGTGGTTCATCGAAACGTAAGCCCGGCTTATTCAAATACTTGCATAATAATCAAGAAAAGGAAACGGGAAATTCGCACGTAAAAATTTCAAACTTGCTCGCCTATAACACTACTGTACACTGTACAGTATCATGGATTCTTCCAAACTGCCAAATTAGGCTTGGATTAAATTGAAAAGAATCGTGTTTTCATTTCTCTGCAAAATATCGAGCATAGAAAACTAAATGAGTGAAGCGACCGAGATATTTCAATCAATTGTAATTGACGAAGTGTGCAGCACAAGTACTGTGGTTAATTTTTTTATTTTTAGCTTGAAATTAAACTCAATTTGGTTTGTAATTTGAATCTTTTTACAATATAAAATTTCCTATCTGGAATTTCGTACAGTAATTGAAATCTCTTGATACATTGTACACTAATGTACTTCGAAAAATCATTTCGATCGTTTTCTCAAATCCAACTTTGTGCTTGAAAATTTAACGAATGAGCTCCCTATTTTTTTATTTTGCACGAATAAAAGAAATTGTCTCGTACGCATCAAATAAAAATGATGAATGTCTGCTTCTAAGTCCGTCAAGGATTTTCAATGGTCCTTCAGGTAATTAAATTAATTCTTTACTTTTTCCTCTCCGATAACTGCAAGACGAATCGCTTTTGCAGAAGACACGAGAAATCCGGCGAGAGTATTCTTTC